TGGCTTTATAGGATCCATTAGTCAGTTCATGAAAGAGTGATTCAGCTCCGATTCTCTGGGCATGATGGGCCGCACAGTTTCGTTCCTGGCTACTTTGTTAATTCTGACGCATCATGTAGGCAACGTTAATCGCCTGTTATTTCCTATTGAACTTGTGTGATGAGGTCACAGTTGCTTGCCATCCTCCAGCCAGGTCTTACACGCTGATGTGCACATGTAGGCTGATGTCCGAACGTCTGCCCTAACCCCTAAATCCCTCAGTCACTATAGAGACAGGGGACTATATAGTGGACTTTATAATGAACTCAGTTAACTGACCGTTCGAAAAGATGATAACTACTTTTCGCTCCTCGTNATTTCCATTTTCTTAAGGTGCAGGGGAAGAAGCTGTTTCAGAAACCTGGAGTCATTTAAAAAAGGCGTGCATCTCAAATGACTCTTTCCTGGTAAAATGAATGCAAAAAGAAAATAAGAGTGAATCCATTTCTTCATGACATCCTGTAGAAATATTAACCTCCAAGCAGCATCACCATCAACCTAAAAAGTGTTCTGTTAATAGAGAAGAATGGGCACATTGTGAGAAGTGTGAACAGCTGTGAATTACTGACAGAGATTAAACATCATCTCTGCACAGGTCAGCCGCTTCTGAATGTGTTTATGTGCATCTAAGTAAACGCCGGCCTACTGCGGCGGCTTTGTTCCTCCATCGGTGTTTGTGGCGCCTTTGTGTGTGGCTCCCATTAATGTGTGTGGGTCCATCCATCCAGAAAATAAAGCCTTATTGAGGATGAAATGGGATTTTTAATTGGCTGAGCCTCGGCCTAACTGCTCTGCGTGGAACTTCACGGCCTCTTGTACAATGTCACCGACACACAGGAACACAACGGACCCTCGACGCCGCGCACGCTCGTCCGTGCACACACGTACACGCTGCATGAATAGACACATTCACGCAGGATATATCTACGTGTCAGGGAGTATTGATTAGACCATTTACACCAAATAGAGGAGACCACTGGCCCCCATCAGGGAGACCTCCCTAACTAGCTCATTTACACTCACACACACATTTCCAAAACGACCTAAAGTCACCCAACGCACACATTTGCCTCCATCGACTCTCCTGCTTCTGTACTTTTTTGTCTCCGTCCTTTAAAAGTGTTTCATTCCTCCTAGACAAACCCTGACACGTACATGCAGAGTGTGATGCGGCCGTTAAAAGGTTGTCTCCATGTCTGACAGCTCCTCTAAGAGCCCTGCATCGATTTTCCCCTCTGCTGACTGTCTCTGAGAGCAAGGAGGTGAGCTACAGCGTGAGAAGGAGGGACCGGATGTCGATTCGCACAGCAAGGCACTAACGCCTCCAAAGCTGATGGTTCCATTCCTAGCACTGCAAAGATTATGCTTTTTTTAAGGTGCATTATGCATGAATTAAATATTTTTCTTCCTACCCATATATGCCGTTAAATTATGTGACGTGTAAAATGAGTTTGGCTTTATAGGATCCATTAGTCAGTTCATGAAAGAGTGATTCAGCTCCGATTCTCTGGGCATGATGGGCCGCACAGTTTCGTTCCTGGCTACTTTGTTAATTCTGACGCATCGTGTAGGCGACCTTACTCGCCTGTTATTTCCTATTGAACTTGTGTGATGAGGTCACAGTTGCTTGCCATCCTCCAGCCAGGTCTTACACGCTGATGTGCACATGTAGGCTGATGTCCGAACGTCTGCCCTAACCCCTAAATCCCTCAGTCACTATAGAGACAGGGGACTATATAGTGGACTTTATAATGAACTCAGTTAACTGACCGTTCGAAAAGATGATAACTACTTTTCGCTCCTCGTTGGTCACATGACTCCTGCGCCATCTTTGTTATTTGTCGCCGCTGTCGGGTAGCGACTTCCTATGGCGATAGCGGGCCGCTGTGACAAATCACAGAACTCTCCTCAGGAAATATTTGCTCGTCTAGTGACCATGAATGATCACTACAGTTCAAGGTTGTACCAATGAGCCATTGTTACCTGTATATTGGTTAAAATAACAGTTAAACACAGCATCTGGTTTTGTAGGTGGTTTGTTTTTGTTTTGGGTGCAATGGATTTGTTTGAGGTGTGGTTTCTCTGGTTGGCCACATCTTGTTTTCATTTTAGTAAAAAGGTAAATTGATTTCACTTTACAATATATTGTGTTTTGTTTAACTCTTCCTAAAAAGACAACGCATTGTCATGGTTCTATCTAAAGCTCGGACCCACATGCAGAGAAACCAATTCAGAGAGACACCAGGGGAAAGGTTAAACATTTTTATTGAAGAGATAAGGCTCGGTGCAGTGTTGCTCTGAATTTAGCTTGACCGGAACTGGAAGGTGAAGGGAAGAGAAACGTTTAGTTCATGCTCAGTGGGAAATTTCATTCGTGGATTTGGAGAAGAGGATCTGGTTGCTGACTCACGTTTCCAGAGAAGTTGTAGGATCTTTGACTCCAATCTGTGTGCTGTTTTCCAGTGTTATTCTGATTCGGTGGAGGGCGGAACAGGGTTTACCCAGAACTCGGGTGGTTATTGGTGAATGGAGAAACTGACTGCGACTCAGATTTCCTGCTGTACTTGAACGGGTCGTAGTGGAGATGAATACCCTTGCTGAGAGAGTAAACTCAACGTCCTCTCAAGGAAACAGGATCCAAACCTCCAGTTTGAATCCCCAGCTCGGTTTGAGGCTAAGTTGATCCCTCCAGGGAGAGAAGGTCCTAAAGGTCCAGTTTGCAGGATGACTTCCTGCCGAGAGGCAAAGACAAAAACGTAGTTAAAACTCAGGTAGACAAGAACTCAGTTTTACTCAGCAAAACTCAGCTTGGCTAGAGTACCAAAAACTGGCAAACACATTGGCGTCGAGGTAGTGGTAATCAGCAGCTTAAGAGTCCTCCGTTAACGAGGTAACCATGATCAGGTGTGTGAGGAGGCGGACCAGAACCAGGCGCCTCCTGCTGGTGGAAGGGAGAACAACACAAAAAACAGACACACAGACAGGAGTCCTGACACACATGAATTGAAGAGTTAAAATATCAAAGCTCATTGTGAAATAATCACCTCTGCTGTTTCACTCTCCAAGCAGGTGTGCACAGGACTGCACCATTGCAGAATTGAATAAGGGAGATTGATCTCATGTATGGGGTTTTCTATATTAAACTTTTGTTTGGGTTGAATTTAAATATTTGTTAAATAATAATAGTAAAATATTTCTTAATTAGCTGTTCATTTAAAACTAATTTTCTTTTTTTTTCTTGTTATTTTGCAGCTGCACATCCTTTTAAAAATGGTTTCTTCCAATTTAGTTCCACCTCTATATAAGAAACATGTCTTGGTTGTTGGTGTGGTTTGGTTGATGTGCTGCAACAGGAAAAAAATCAAAGACTTGTTAACTGAAAACTCTTCGGAGCGTGTTCTTCTTTCAACCGGTTTGGGTCCCACCTCCAAGCTGCTTGGCCTCCTGATAAACATGTGACAAAGGTGCATTATGGGACATTTCTAGTTCTCTGCTTTTTTTTCCACTAGACGTTCGGACACTCATCTAAAATGGCGTGACCACCACCATAGTGCTCTATATAGTGATAAGGGCAGACTTACGGACACAGCCGTAGGCTTGCGCAGCGTGACAGGAAATTTAAAACATTTTCACCTTTTGTCATTTTGCAAAACCAATCAGAGGGTTTCACTGTTTGATTTGGAATTAACAGACAGTTTAATTGTAACACTGCAGTCTGCAAGTGCTTTTAACATGGAGGAAAATATCTGACTTGAGCCAGTTTTAGCAAAATCTTCTGACTCTTCATCATTGCTGCCTGATCTGTCAGGTTGAAAATGTTACCATTTTTAATGCTTCATAACTGATCACATTTGTTGGAGACAAATTATTTGAGATTTTCAAACCCTTGCCATCGCTGTTGCATCCCGTGTTTTGGGTTTCAGGGCAGTGGCGATGAGTGCCTTTTAACGCTGTCCCTTGTTGACCCCGGTGTGCCACACCCATTAGCGAGTTAACATGGCCGACTGTTTTTGAAGCTGGATCATAAAAGACCAGCTGCAGGTGTACCTCAAACCTAATCACAGACGCATCAAGAGTAAGAGATTCAAATGTTTGCCTCTTACGACGAAACGGGCCAAACTGGAGTCTGATCAACTATGGATTAAAACGAGAGTAAATATTTGGCAGATTTTCACCAAATGAAAGGAACTTAGATCTGCAATGAACAGTTGATAATCTCTTCAAAATAGCTTCTATAGTTCTAACATTTTACCTACAGAAGACGCCTCTAATAAGAGACCCGTGCAGCCCTAGCTACAGACTGGGTAGCTTTTCCTTTTTCCCCCTGTGTGCACAACACATGTGTCATTTAAACTTGTCACCAGCGGGGGCACACTTCTGCAAAACCTCTGGAACTTGTGTTATGCTTCTTTAAACCTAAATATGTGCATAATGCTTCAGCATATATATTGGATTTGGTAGCACAGCATGCATTTTCTAACGTTTAGCTAAAGTTTAATTTCCCCTGAGCAGCAGGGGTTACACTGGCCGCTAATGCAACTGCGAATTCTTATGCTAACCTCTGAAATGAGAAGAAGCCATTTTTTTACCTCTCCCACTGATCTACTAGGAAGTTAGTATTGATATATTTTGGTCCCATTCAAACTCAAACAATCATTTGTATATATATTTCATTAAAATGAATACTAGATGTTCAATGTATGTTTTTTTTTATCAATGACAAAAAAAAAAGTGTAGCTATAACCTTTAAAAAGCAAATATGGTTTGGTTTATTCATAACAAATATATTGTGTTAACTTGTGTTGGTTAAAAGCTGCATATTACAAAAAAATAAAGCAAAGTGAAAGCAGTTTTCAGGCTGAGAATAATTCACAATTTGAAAGACAGATCTCAGGAACTCGGGTTAACACCTTATGAAGCAGCTGTGAGAGATGAGATGTTTTTATGTGTTTCTGTGTCAGGCCTGATCCGGTCCAGAGTACGGGGGGCTGATGCAGCCAGAGCCAAAGTCCTGACCTTCCTGGACAGCCACTGCGAGGTCAACAAAGACTGGCTGCCCCCCCTGCTGCAGAGGATCAAACAGGTAGGCTGTGAGAACACTCACACTAAGCAATGCTGTTGCAAAGCTTTGCATGCCTCCAAAATATTTTTATTGAAGTTCAAACCTTGTCTGACACCCGTCCATCACCACGAACTTCAAAAACATCTGCAGAGTTACTCAAACTATGCTTCTGACTTTCTGATTGCTCTGGTGGTTGAAACGAAATCACTTCATTGTGAAAATAGCGTTTCTTTGATTGCACCTTGTTAAAAAAAAAAGTGCTGCACTTTCTCTTTCACCACACTCACTCATCCATGCTCCTTTATTTGTGTCTCCTTCTTCCTCTTCTTTGTAGCTTTTTTCCAGAACACGCTGTCTCCCTTTAACTGCCCTTTCCTCTGTTATCTGTCTGGTTCTTTGTCACTGCTTCCTCAGTTTTACACCTTTTCTTTCTCCTTTGCCACCTTTCCTGTCACTTCAGTCGTCGCTGCTCTGTTCGACTCCAGTTGTTTTCTTCCCCTTATCACCAGACTTCAGCTGTTAGCATCAACCATGTCTGCTTTTGTCTGCTTTTCACCAAACTCTTCACCTTCACACCCTCATATTTTAAAAATGTTTTTATTTTCAGACCAATTATCTCCTGCTTTTCCTAAATTGTTTAAAATATTCTGAATATTTGGATATACATTCTTTTTATTCCTTTAATCCTTAGATAAACAGTGGAAACGGAATAATTATTAGGTTTTTTGGGGTTTTTTTTTAAATGAAGGGTTGAGTATGGAAGAGGATTAGGGCCACTGGAAAAAAAAAAAAAAAGTTAACTGATTTTTAAATTTTATTTCAGTTTAACATGGGGAAAAAGTCAGAATTCTGACTTTAATCTCAGAATTCGTACTTTTTTCTCCGAATTCTGACTTTTTTCTCCGAATTCTGACTTTTTTCTCAGAATTCTGACTTTAATCTCAGAATTGTGCTTTTTTTCTCCGAATTCTGAATTTTTTCTCTGAATTCGTACTTTTTTCTCCAAATTCTGACTTTTTTGTCAGAATTCTGACTTTAATGTCAGAATTCTGACTTTTTTCTCCGAATTCGTACTTTTTTCTCAGAATTCTGACTTTAATCTCAGAATTCATACTTTAATCTCAGAATTCGTACTTTTTTCTCAGAATTCTGACTTTAATCTCAGAATTCTGACTTTTTTCTCCGAATTCGTACTTTTTTCTCAGAATTCTGACTTTAATCTCAGAATTCTGACTTTAATGTCAGAATTCTGACTTTTTTATTGTCAGAATTCAGTCAGAATTCTGAGAACAAAAGTCAGAATTCTGAGATTAAAGTCAGAATTCTGACTTTTTTCCCATACTAAACAAAAATAAAATGTAAAAATCAGTTAACTTTTTTTTTTTTTTTGGCCCTAATCCTTTTCCGTAGTTGAGAGCCATGTATATATGTGCCTGAAGGGATTTATTTTCCCCTCCTCAGGATCTAAAAGCTCATTCATAAAGGCTCCTGCTCAGTCATTTTTTGCTGTGTATCAAACATCCAAATGATCCTCATTAGGCTCTAAACTGTTACTCAGGCTGGCTGATAATCTAATAATGTGAATCAGGTGTGATGACATGGGAGCACATCGAAAATGACTGGAGTCTAAAGCTTCTTACATAAGCTGCAGGAACTGAAACTTAGTTCTTGTTTTCCTCGTGAAAAGCTCAGCTGTTGCTTACATCATCCCTAGAAGAAAACACAGCATCACAAAGGCAGAAAAGTTATTTAGCTTACTTAGAAAAGTCAAACAAGTTCTCATTATTTCTTCACGCCTTTAAACTATTCCCCATGTGACTGTTCACTTATTTTGCTGTAACAATGTCTGAACCCTAAAAGGAGAAGGAGAAAAATTATAGTTGATGATGAGTTAAGAACAAGAAGTGAGTACTAAGGCTGAAACAATCGGATTAATCGGGATTAATCAACTATTAAAACAACCGTCAACTAATTTAGCAATCGATCAATCATTGATTCATGTATACAGACTCCAAAGTATGCCTTTAGCTGACAGAGCAACCCACTGAGTGCAGTTATTATAATTAAAAGTGTAAATAAAATAGATGTTTTGCATTTAAGATAAAAAAAAAAAAACTTTGAATCTGTCGCTATGCTTTATCCTTAACTTGAACAGTTTTAGTTTCATCTACTATAATTTCATAAAAAAACCTTCTTTATGGAACTCCTGGAGGATGTAGCATCCTTAAAACCTCCCATTTTTTTCCTCTCCATCCTAATTTCGTTCTCTTTGCTACTATTTTTTGAGAACTTTTATGCACTTTTACTGTATTCACGTACATGGTCTCAAGTTCTTCACCTTAAGCTCGGAGTCCTCTCATTTCCCAAGTTCTTTTCCTTTTATTCCACCAATTCATCATGTCAGCAGATGCTTTGTTGGTCTTAAAGACCCTTGATCTCGCTGTGTGGAGCTCAGATCGATAAGTAAATCCACCTGAGAGTCAGATCTGTTCGGGCTGCGGTGCCAACATCATCGTTATTCATTGGTGCAGCTTGTGTACGTGCTTTTTAATGCACAACAGGTCATTTGTCACTGTCTGTACAGGTCACTTTATAGTCATATATTTAGATTTAAATGTATGAAGTATTGATCCAGGCCAACACACACAGCAAAAACCCAGACCACTCTTAAAATCCTATCACCCTTAAAATAATTGTCTGTCTTGTTGATAAAGCGCTGAAATCCCTCCTGAATCTGAGCTTCCAATAGTTTGGTGTGGATTTGGATTTAAAGATCAGACTCTGAGGGTTTTGAATAATGAAGTGATTACATAGCTTCATCCTTCCTGCCAGAACAACTTTACTACCATATTATTTTAGATATTTCAGTTATGATTTTCCCCTTTTTTGTAATACTGACTGATTTTCAGCTGGAACAGGTTAGTTATTTCGCTAAATTGGTTCACAAAGTGACATTATTTAGATGAATTACAAACAAAAACTAAACAAAAACTAAAAAAAAATAATGAGACATTGTTTTTCTTAGATTTAAATATTACATTAAACCAATAAAACTTTGTTTCATACCTGACGAAAGATTGTTATTTTCTAAAAAAACAAACCAGCCTCATTGATATGCTTATTCAAATTTAATGAGATGTATCCCCAAAGTTTGCAACAACAGCATCATAATGGTATTCAGTCTCATGCTATGGCACGCACATGTTCTGTCTGCACTGCTGAAGATTGACACATTTAAATCTTTAAGTTGCTCCAACAGCAGGACAAGCAGTCATGTTTTCTGACTTTGACTTGTAATTATTTGACCACTTGAGGTTATAGAGCA